CTTCAAATTGAGTAAACCAGGATGGTATATAAGTATGTAGGGAGGTAATAAATTTGGCTAACCTTAAAAAAGCTAGAATAAGAACAAAATTTATTGATACTGTTACGACAGCGTAGGTCACGTGACGCTAGTAACACGTCATGAACTTCTAGAAGAATCATGTCCCTTCCTGAAGTCTCGAGAGGTTACTAGATATGCGGTAGTCTTGTATATATAAGCCGCCAAGAACTGACGGCAACAATGTGAGTAATTGACAGTTGAGTCGAGCACGTGAGACGTTCGTTGTAAATTATAGCGTTTGTTATAGCGCGACTGTGGAAATTAAGTGTATTGCAAAGTTGTATTCAGAAAGAATAAACCAGTTTTATTTAAGAAAGAACTTGTATCGCTAAAGTTTCTTCGGAAATAATTTTTACGGAGAATTAACTAACGATCGGAAGCGTAACAATACTTTAGTTTTGCTACGTCGAGATTTACTTACTGTAACAGCGTATAATGCTGATTTAAAACCGTGACTGAATTGTTACAATAGAGTACTTATTTAACACCTGAATTATAGTATTAACCTATTGGATTTAATTATAGTACAACTACTGGATTTAAGAATTGTTGTAAGACTGAGTGTACATAATTTGGAATATATTTTGAAGTTTTATTTCTTCAAAATGGGTTTGGATCTTTCGCCAGCGTTAAAAATTCGCACTTTCAATGTGTGTAACTGTACTTATATTTGATTTATTGTTAATGCATTGATGCCAGTAATTCACAATAGCGTAACTAAACTTATAAAACCAACAAAATACATATAGATTGAAATACGATGTAAAGTTTACTGTGTTAGACTGTATTCAAGTTAACAGACGCGATTATGGACAAGCTACACATCATGAATGCCTTCAAGCAATATAACTTCCTTGTAAATACAAAACTCTCAAGTGCTCTAGGTACTATAGTGAAACGCAAAGTTCATTCTTTGTCTCAGTATAGGTGTACTAATCTTGGCTGGCTGGTTTCAGTATCCTGGCAACGCTGTTATAGCGAAACTACTTGGGTGTCCCTTCGCACGCTTCGAAACCACATGCAGCGTATAGCTTCCTGTTAACATTACAGCAAATGAAAGTGTGTCCATTTCCTTCCTTGTATGTATGTGTGTGGGGCGGGGGGGGGGTAGAGTAATCACTAGTCTAATATACACTCATGATAATTCAGGAGTGAATTACTATAGAAATATTTATTTTAATTCAAGTCACACTGAACTTTTCTTATTAGTTGTTGAAAGACATACACACAATATATATACTTAATTGTGCGTGCCGAAAACAGGTTCGTCGGTAATATCTAAAAATGCAAAAACACTGCTTACTTAGACTAAGCCTAATATGTTATCGTGACCGCTATTATAGGTACAACTGCAGTTGATCCTTTTCATTGATTTGTATACGTTGATTCGTGTTTTATCAGATCTATATAAGTACAAACCTGTCTGTCATTCTGGTTGAGCAAGACAAACAAGCAAATAACAGCGAACGTGCGATCTAGTGAGAACGACATGGCTGCTCATCTACAAGAATCACTTATCAGGATGAGGCTTATTTTCTTCTTGCTCTCTTGATACTACTGTTATATATTTCAATCACTTATCCTTTTGCTTCGTTCACTTCACATCTTTATCATCTTTCTGAAAGGTAATACGTGGGAGAGCTTACAAAAATTACCGTTTATTCCATGTTGAACCTGTGATTTGTTTAACAAAGTCGAAATGCAAGATGAGTCATAAAAATGAAAGGATCGTACACAAAATGCATGGTGTTTAAGATAAAACTAAACAAAGGAAGTGTATATCAGAAATGCCACATGATATCAGTTATAAATCTTATAAAAACCCGTTGCTTCCACTGCCAGCTTCGATTTATTTATTTATTTCAATTTGACTCGTGATTTTACCATCAGCACTAAATATACGCTATAAGTTAACATCACACAAATTTATAGTTATATAGTTTTCGCAAAATAAATAGAATGGCTCATTTAAGGTTTTAGGTAAGATTGTAAAGACAGAGTGGGCAAATTTTAAACACTTATCATCTCGTGTTCTTGTGACATTGTTCCGAGAACGAGTGTAGTCTATCTTCTATCTAAAGAAAACGCAAAAACGTACACCAAGTAGAACAATATAGTAGAGGCCAGAATATACATTATAAATACGTGCTTTAAATTTAAGTTGAACCCTAAGATTATTATTTTTTTGTAAAGATACAAGGTGTAAAATATCAGTGACAAAAGATAATGTGTAACATTTTTACACGATTTTTAAATGATGTACTAATTGTTCTGAAAGTAAACATGAAAACATCTATGGGTGGGAGTTACGACAGTTCGCACTGATCGGAAACGCCTCACTACCGAACATGTTATGAAGTTGGCGTGGCACGATCCGAACAAGGAAAGAAGAGGGCACGCCATCACGAAATGCACAACAGCACTTATTGTGGGTCGTGAATGATAGCGTGAGACGACTAAATTGATGAACGAAAACGATATTATTTGTGTACATCTTTTCACAAGAAAACTTTCCTAAATAAAACTTAATTTTCTTTATTACACCTATTTGGTGAAAGTTTTGAATATCGATGTTACAGCCTTGCGTGGTTAAACCGATAGAAAGACCAATCTTATTGTATAATAATGTAATACATGTTTTTATTTAACCTAATGAAATTAAAATACGAAACATATGTCGCTAAGAATAATTGAAATGTAAGGTGAGTTAAGAAATTTTCAATGTTATATTCGTTGCATACAAAAAAGCCTTCCAGTGGCACAGCGGAATGTCTGCGGACTTACAACGCTAGAAACAGGGTCTCGATATCCGTGGTAACCAGAGCACAGATAGACCATTGTGCAGCTTTGTGCTTTATGAGAATATGCTGCAGACTTTGCCTTTGAAAACAAAGAAATTTATGAAAACCATTACTTTGATAATGCCTTGAATAATAAATACACACTTCTGTTTAGTGATAATACTTGTGCTTAATATATTAGAAATCTTACTTTGTTGTAATCATCAACAATTCTTCTCACCTACGTGTATTTATTTTACATAAGCAGAAGTAAAAATTAATTGATGGAAGAATAAGTTATAAAAAAAAGAATATAAGATTAGGACAACGCCAAGCTTGAGATACAAATGACATAATCAATAAGATTTGGACAACGCCAAGCTTGAGATACAAATGACGTAATCAATAAGATTTGGACAACGCCAAGCTTGAGATACAAATGACGTAATCAATTACCACGAAAAAAAAAAGTTAGCAAGTCGGCTTGATTCCCGTCAATGCACGAAGCTCCTAGGCTACCGCGTGCTTGTTCCTTTTGCTGAATCCCAGCACTGCAGTTGTTCGCGTCGCTAACGCGGAGACATCAAAGCGTCGGCTTTCATTGTTGACCTGCTTTAATACGTGTTAGTCCGATAGTAGTGCTCCACGTTGCGAAGAGCATTAACACATAACTTAAACGAAAGGAAAAAAAAAAGACCGTTAACAATTCTATGAAAGAGTTTTATCTGACTCGCTAATTCAAAGACAAATATTGTTTATGAAGTCAAAAACCACGAGCTGAACGCCGTAAAGTTGCCGATAATAATCCCATGCGCAGCTTTCATTCCATACGAGTAGTAAATAGGACAACTGGACCATTGCCAGTCATGCAGATAAAGTAACAGATCTGATACACGAGCAATCGTAAACATAACATGTTCCACGAGAAAATCCGTATGTTTACATATTCACAGCCCATATATCGAATGATTTAAAATTTAACGTATATATATCCGAAAGGCAAGCTAAAATCCCACCTAGTTTTCAGACAAGGACGTTTATCCGACAATAATACATGAGCTCCTCTAAAAAGTGTCGTTTTAAATTTACTGATTTGGCAATTTGGTTTTGACAGGATTATATGACATGCGAATTGACGTACATTTTTCCTACTGTAAGTGCCAAAGTATACATAATTAAGATAATACGTGTTTAATTTGTTTGGCTTTTCATAGATTTTTGCAAAATTGAAATCATGCACGCTTTGTAACCTTTCTTGCTTTTCATATAACCTCAACATAGCTCAGTATTGTAAATTATGTTTCGTATACTGTAAGTTCTTTTCTATGTGTTCATTCTACAAGTAACTTATTTAGTTGAAGTTAGGAGTTAATTTTGGTTCCTTTGATTCTCCCGACACGCCAGAAATATATGTTTCTATATAATGTTTGATCATCTGGGCCTTTTATAAGACGACACAGTCTGCATTGCAAACAATTACTTGTCTAACTAATTTTCATAAAGTGAACTCTGACTATTTTGTAAAGAATATTAGTTTCCATTAGCCAGAAAACCCATAATTATTGGACGTGATATTACGCATAGTTATAGTTTAGAAGTTATATTCAGTAACTCTTATTTTTTGTTGTTGTTTAGTCGCTGACAACCTTTAATAAAGAGAAGTAGACCTTCTATGCCTGCGTGCTCTGAGATCATATGTCGTGATACATTCAAGTTTATAGATAGGCAACAACTTGTAACTTCAAGGGAAGGTCGTAATTTTTCGTTGCTGTGTGGGTGTGCACGTCAGAGAGGTGGATTAACTTTAGATTACCATTTCTGTAAATGTGATCAACCTGCTAAAATAGATAATTTTGTCGGTCACTATGACTCTCTAAAGGCGAGACATCGTGAGCCCACTTATCAACAGGTCCACGGGTCAAACCCTTCAATGAGCTGCTTACTAGCATACGAAGTGTTTTAGCTTGCCACGAAGAAAACCGCTTCACGTGAGAACTGAGAATACGGTTGCATGGTTACCCTAACAGGGCCCGCGCCCATCTCAAGAACGCTAATTTATCACACCCCTCTCATGAAAATAGACGCGCCTTAGCATCGCGCACCCGTGTAGGGCTGTAATGACGGTAATCGCCTAGTGGCGGCAGCGGGCCGGAACAAAGACAGCCGACTGCCAACGCATAGTTCAGTCTAGTCGTGGAGAGTGAGTAGTGTGGGTAACGGTGTGTTTCATGTTTCGTCTTCGTTTTTGTCGATTCCGATCTGCGCTTCCTCTCTAACGCTCCGTATCGAGTGGCTGAAAGAGCGTTCGGAGCTTTAGCCACAACGTAGTTGACTTTTTGTGTGTGCAGTTGCAAAGTTGTTCGCGTTTAACTTTTTGGAAATTTCACATTTTAAGTTGTATCATTCGATATAATATACTTATATGGACTGTTATCGGTCCAGAAGACTCGAGCTCTTTGTTTTAAGTTCACGTCACACTACTTGCTGCTTTCGGAAAACCCAAGTGACAAAGTGAAATTCAAAAATAAGCGATAGAACGAGAGAGGTTATCAAATACTCCACGAATCCAGTGTTAAAACAAAAATACAGAGAACTTTAAAAATTCAGCAAACGTTTTTAGTTCCATTGCAGATCCTAAAGGAAACCATATTTGACCTTAAGGAAAGTTAATTTGTGTGACGATGTATTCTGCTGGACTTTGGAATGAGTTTTTGAGCACGACGAGAGTAGAGTAATCTTCACATAGGTGGGTTATCTTTGTCTTCCTTGTATCTGGCCATCTAGGTTTTGTTGAGTTGTAAATACCGGAGGCTTCTTTATATCATTGTTTGTATTTGGCGAGCTTATGTTAAACTAGATAGTTACGACTGAATTTAAAGAAGGTGTTTGATGGAAGGGAATTACATAACTTTATATTTACTTTCACTACTTTGAAAAGGGAGGGAAAGAAAGACTATGTAATTTGGCTTAAATTGTTCACAAACTTTCCATGTGAAAAGTTTCGTATCTAACACATCACATGTTATTATTTAGATAGATTCATACAGATTGGTCGCCAATAAGTCATAAGAAGTTATTGTGTATTTAGTCTCTGAATTCAAGTTTTGATATCTTTCAATTGTGATTGTACGTTGATTTCAATGTTCTTATTTATCCGCAAAAGCTATGTATAATACTGTAGATAGTTTTAAGCTGAGAGCCTACAGTTGTAAAATGAAAAGTTATTTGTGATGAGAAAAGGCTTATTTTGTGTTGAAGAGGGTACACCTAATTCTGACATATTTGTTTTAGTTACGAGAACATCAAATGGGTTTCTACATAATTTAAATTAAAATAGTAGTGTAGGAAGGAGTTGCAAAATAGGGATGCTTGGCTAGATATGCAGATTTTATAGTGAGAGATTGAAAGTATAAGAAGCTACTCAAAGCAGCTCACTCTAGGGGGGGGGGGCATTTCCCCCAGAAAATTACTATAATATTATAATCTACAGTTGCTATATAAGTCAGATGCCTCTAAATATCAAGATATTAAATTCACTTGATTGAAAGTTATTACTTTTAAATACTTCAATATATATAATAATCAAATAAGTCTAAAGTGATAATTTATCATAAACCAAATGTTTTGGATTGAATACTCAGTTTAATAATTATGTACATATTGTTTTTGAAACTATCTTGGTTAGTCTTCTATTTAACGGAACACGTAGGATTTCAAGTAGTTTAACTGTGTTACGAGTCGAAAGGGTAAGAGCTGAGAGGGTTTTGAAATTAAATGAATTTTGTAGAGGCTGTAAATATTTAAATAAAATTATTCATACTATTACTTAAGCTGTAGAAGGCCAAAAAATGATAGTTTTAGTTTTATCTTGAACAGAACAACATTCTTCTTTGTAATTATAATTTATAGTTAACTGTTATCTTGTACATAATATATCCACAACTTCAGCTTAGATGTATTATGAAACCTCTTTTTAAAATAAAACATTTATTGAAATTTTAGAATGTCATCCCGACGGGGGTAATCGATCTATTGTGATATTTAAGTTTTAATCTAGTTGCTGCGGGAAACAATATGTTGAATCCACCACTAGGTGGATGCCTGTAGACGAGAATAAAAGAATACATACCAACATAAGACCGGAAATTACATCTAATGTAACTTACCACGTATACAGACAGAGTGTCGTGTTGCAGTTTCCACTGTCACCTTTATTATAGTGAGTAGAGCTGAGAATGAAGTACAGTTGAAGATTCTTGTGATTACTGTTCTGAAACCAACCTTAAATCACCAGAATTCGGTCATCCCTCTTCTCGATCTGTGAGCTTTTTATTTTATTTTAAATCATGTTCACCTGATAATGTGTCGAATTATTGTTAGGGGTTTCCTATTTATTAGGTCATGATAAAAGCGTAAGATGAACAAACTTACGTTTATAAACCATACACATGTTCACTCAAAGATCAGTTTCATTAAATTCAGTTTAAACAACAAAACTGTATGGAAATATTATTTCTTTCTCTGTTTTTCATACCTGACCTTTAAAAGTTCATTTGTACAATAATTTCTACAAATATACATCTGTTTCTAATTATAAGTATAACAACACTTACTCAGGATGCTGCGGGGTAGTTGGAAAGTTAAAGATCAACCCGTAAAATAGTATATTGAAACATGCTGTAAAAATGAGATTAACGACAGTGGGTATACCGAAACTGTTTATGTAGCGTATAAGATATATGTGCACGGTGTATATCACTTTATAGTCGGTGTTCATTCATGCTATGACTGTATTGCATGTAAACTATTTTTGTGTGACATATTGATGTTGTCTGATTTTGGAGAATGACATTTTCTAGATATATATAGTTATCAGATATGCATGCAGATTTAGTAAGTAGTGGCTAACTTTTCCGAAGCCATTCACGAAATTACGATTTAGTCAAAAATAAATGTATATATATGGGTATATTTCTTTTATCGCTTACTGATCACTTGCGAGTAACGTGAATAACGGATGTATATATATGGGTATATTTCTTTTATCGCTTACTGATCACTTGCGGGTAACGTGAATAACGGATGTATATATAGGTATATTTCTTTTATCGCTTACTGATCACTTGCGGGTAACGTGAATAACGGATGTATATATAGGTATATTTCTTTTATCACTTACTGATCACTTGCGGGTAACGTGAATAACGGATGTATATATATAGGTATATTTCTTTTATCACTTACTGATCACTTGCGGGTAACGTGAATAACGGATGTATATATATGGGTATATTTCTTTTATCACTTACTGATCACTTGCGGGTAACGTGAATAACGGATGTATATATATGGGTATATTTCTTTTATCGCTTACTGATCACTTGCGAGTAACGTGAATAACGGATCTCACGTTATTTGAAAAGGATAATTATAAGTTATAAAGATAGTAAACACTGCTAAATGAATCAACACGTTTGAAGTACTTCGTGTTAAATCAGAGGATTTTCTTTTCGAAGCAGGTTTAATTTAAACCTGTTTTGTCTGTAAAAGTTCTTTGTTTAAAATGTATTTGTTTAATGGTGCTGTAGGTAAGAGTGGCTGGTTTACTACTACGTTTCTATGGGGGATAATAGAGATTCAGAAGTAAACTATAGCCTGGAGTGTTATGGGGAGACTTAAAAAACAAAATACATTACCGTGTGTCATCCCCGCAACTGTATTTCTACATTCATTAATCGTTTAAGATGTCTCATTTTTAAATAATAAATACCCTTAACACGCGTGATATACGTATTGGATGCATTGTTGATATAACATTGTAAACGTACTATAATTGTTTCTTTACACATGGCATTGTTAAATCTACTGTATTTATATCAGTAATCAAATTGTGTATGTGTGTGTGTATGTATATATATATATATATATATATATTATCGTTAAAGGTATTGTATTTCATGTTTTATCAAATGATGCATGTTATGCACCATGTTTTTCTATTAATAACATCGCGACGGATCGCAAAATGTACATGTTACGTCCTATACTTCTGTACATATATTTTCAAATATCATAAGATACATGTTTTGTACCACGTTTATCTTTAGATAGAATTGCTACAGATATTTAAAGATGTGTTTTACACTACGTATTTCTCTCCACGTCTATAAGTTTTAACATCGTTTTTTAGGCTAGTATCGAACAATTACATTTACGTTTACTTCTAAGTATATTTTGATTGACTTAACGCTTTATTAAACCTATTTTCTCTCTCTCTCTTTTAATTTTGCAATTCCCTTAATTGTACTACATAACATTTCATTGCAGGCAATCATGCAAATGGCAGTTATAACTAAATAAGAAGAGTTTTAAGGTATAAAAACGATAGCACACTGTCTTCGTGTAGCATTCTTTATGGATTGTCCAAACTTCATAAAACTGATTGTCCCATTCGACCCATCGTATCTAACCTAGGTACGCATAATGATAAACTAGCAAATGTTTTCGTTGATTTTATTATAAAACTATTCATTATTAATAAATAGTTAGTTTTGAATTCTCCCAGTATATCAGGAAAGTAAGCTTCTTTGAATCCGTATATAGTGACATTTTGATGTAGAATCATTATACACTAATGTCCCGTTGAAAGAAGCAATTGATTCCTTTGCTAACTTGAGTTTTGAAGTTGTCAAGGGTTTAACTAAAGATGTCTTGCTTGAACTCCTTCATTTTACAACTGAAAAATCACGTTTTATGTTTGATGGAAAATTTTTATGACCAAATAGATAATGTCGCATTGAATCCACATAACCCATGCTTAGCTAAAATTTTTCTCTGCTAACATGAGAAAATATTACCTTTGTTACGCATTAAATGTAAATATCATGTTCAGAAGTTTTTATAATATTTAAATGAAAGACATCAGAACATCGAATTTGCTGATATAGAAACGAAAAAATAGCTTAAAAGTTTATTTTTAAAAAAATCAATTCGTTTTCTCGCAGATTTCAGAAATAATAAAAGTAAGCAATAGACAGAGGCGTCGCTAGGCGCTGGCACACGCGGCCCGTGCCCTGAATCTCCTGTTGGTGTCTTGAAAAATCAAAATAGAAAACCATAATCGATATCGTACTGAAACGGCGAAAATTCGCGCCTATGGTCCAGAGCCCTGAATCTTTTAAGTACTTCGAGACGCCTCTGGCAGTAGAACCTATAGTTTCTGTAATGTTCGTTCAATTTCAAGATTGAAGATCTAGAACCGTGACGTAATACCACTGGTGAAGCCAGACGCCTTCCAGCCGCCATCATGCGTGATGTAGGTAAACGACTTCACGGTCGTTGTTCGAATCAGCATCCTCTAGAGAGACCAGCCTTATAATGAGGTGCCTCAGAGAAGAGAAAAAGCCTTTCTTCCGGTGCCGCATGCGATACTTAACGATGCGTGTACCCGTATCCAGTCCCACGCATTGCACGCTTTGCATATTCGTGCACGCCTGCATTTTAATTATTAACACACTCAATACAGTTGTACTGAATGTGTTGTAATCTGATCTCAGTGTCAGTGCGTAGACAATCATCGGTAATCGTGATCGCTTTGTAACCTGTGCGGAAGCTAAGATGAGACGTAACTTCAATTTCATTGTATAATCTAAATTTTGGAAGATAATTCTTATCTAATATTCAGTATTTCTAAGACAGAAGCATACTTATAAACATGTTTAGCAACTTGGGACTTTTGATTAAATCCGTTCATTCGATGTTCTTGCTTAAACACACAACATATATTATTTTGCCTATATAGTTGAAGTATGAACCTGCATTCAACATGGAACCCTTTAAAGGCACCTATATATATATGCAGTGTTCAATATATATGCCAACTACTGATCCTTGTGACCTTAGAACGAATAATTCATCCGGCTGAGACCCGTCGTATCTATAATTTTTCTTTCAGTTTTCCATCTACTATAGTGGGATTTAATAATAAGGTGCAGGGAAAGTCAATCAATCTTTCTGTTCATACGCCGTAGGAAAGCGCGTTTTATCTAATACGACAAGAGAAGTGAAGGAAGGCAAGGCCTCTTTGAAAGCCAGACTCCTCTTTCTACCTCCAGTGTTCTTTCGTATTCCAAACAAGTTCTCGGCGCTTTTAATCGGTAGACCCATCTAGCTGAACAACCACGAGAACGATCTGATCTCATCCGCCCGCTTCACACTGAGTGGAGACGCCCGGGTCGCGTCGTACAGCCTCGGGGTGTGGGATTGCCAAGCCGGGGTGCTTCACCAAGAATAGAGTAATGCAATTAACGCAAAAATTGAAGTACCGAATGTTCGGCTGGCCGTGAAGAGGGCTTCATTTCACAAAATTCATGATGTGAGAGACACATTAATTTACATTTGGGCCTTTTAGGGACTCTTGCCGGGGCACATCCATCAGATCATGAAGCCCAGGAGCGGTTTTATATCACAGGGTCACTCCATTGTTGACCTAGTGTCATCTCGTTAGCACGAAAGGGTTCTCCCTCATGCCGGGTCACACATGGGTATATATAATTATTGCACTTAGCGCAGTTTTGAGGTGACTTAACCGGTTAGTTCCTTGTTTCTCCAGTACTGCGCCAGCTGACTTGCCATTGTACTCTATTGTTGTCGCACTTACTGATTTTAACTTTGCTAGCATCCAGATCTTCGTATACTCAGTGTAAGATCTGTATTACAGCACACTGCTATATTATTCTAACATTAAACTTGAAAATAAAATTTGATAACCACCATAACTAGTTTTGTTTAAAAATCTCCATGTTATCATAGTACAGTTAAGCACATTCATCGATCATAACACTTCACAAATAGTTTACAGTCAAACACTAAGAATACCGCAGTGATACGTTATACATATCATATAATCACCAAACTTTACATTCATTAGTTGGTTGTCCGTCATCACCGGCCCCCCAGTGGCACAGCGGTATGTCTGTGGACATACAACGCTAGAAACCGGGTTTCGATACCCGTGGTGGGCAGAGCACAGATAGCCCATTGTGTAGCTTTGTGCTTAACTTCAAACAAACCGTCATCACCGACAGCTCTTTTTAGCCAGCAAACATGTGTATCTCACTGAGTTCATTGTCATCGTCAGCAGAACTGTACATTTTAATTTGTATTCATTGTTATTAACAAAAATGTTACTGTACCTGTGACAGGTACTTTTCGGTCAACACTTCTAATCAACTAAATGTTCGTCTCCACAATAAATCGTTAGCAATGATAACCTACATTGAGCAGTGTTACGCAAGACGTGAGGAGAAACAATTCAGATAAAAGTAATAATGAATAAGTTATGGTTTAAACGCCGAAAGTTGGCCAAGTGTTAAAAGTGAATAGGCATAAAACTTGTGAATAAAAATCACGTAAACTGTTGATGTTTTTTCATAACTTAAATACTATTTTTATTCGCCTCTGATTTTGAATTCAAAATAGATAAATTACGAGGAATGTGAAGAAAAAACATTGTAGTTTACATGATTTTTTATCTCAAATTTTAAACTTATTTCTTAATTAATAGTGAATAAGTTTAACATACGTCAAGATTACTACTGTTTTATTTTATGCGACAGACACCCTTCGTCATTTAGACGACTGTTAACTTATTATTATTATTACTGTTATATGAATAATTTCTTCTGTTATCATTAACAATATTGTAATCATTTCATTATTTTTTATCTGTAAGCGATTACAATAACTAATTGATGCTATGCGTTTTGTTGTGTGTATTAGTTTACATTCTGTGTTTGTTATCAACAATGTTAAATTACACAGATAGATATCACTCTAAATGAAACTGGCGAATCTCCAGAAGGGCTAGAAGGATTATCCTGAAGTTTGGATTATAACTCAGAAATATCATGGAATTTCTTAGAATGTGTTTATGTATAAGTGGCAATGGAGTGTGATTCAGCAAGACGATGCATCCATATACATCTGAGACGTACACATCACTACGGTTTACATCTGATCGTGTCATCAGTGGATGTTTATCTGTCACCACCAGTGCTGCCTTAAATATAAACTTCACCTTGATGGTTCATGTTACCTCGTTTACCTAAAGAATGCCATTGTAAGGAAAGTTGCAAACGTTCCTCTTGTTGGACACTTAGAGGTGGACACTCTGAACATCTATGACTTTACACTCTGCTTTCAAACTGCAGATTTTCATCTGAAGCGCCACCCATCCATAAATAAACACACGTGAAAGAATATCACCGAGCCCTGAATTATGATATCAAATTTCATAACCAGATATCCTGAAGACGCACATTTTAATTTTGTGCAGGTTTTTTATGGACTCACTTCATACCTCAGAGCTTTTTTACAGCCCGTCCGTTTCAATACGTACAGCCCTCCAGTGGCAAGTCTAAAGACATATAATGCTAAAAAACTGAGTTTCGATACTTCTGGTGGGCATAGCACAGATAGCCCATTGTTAAGCTTTGTGCTTAATGACAAACAAATCAATCGGCACATAATACATTTGTGGAAACGAAATATTATTTGCTCTCTTAAGTAATTAAAAGAAACATTTTTTTATATATTTCATTTTACAGAAAGTTTTTGCCCTTAAAACTGAGTGGTGAATGCCTAAGTATAAAATTGTTCCCTTTCTTCTCTATGTAACTAAATACGTTTTTGATGAAAACTGCGAATTATGTTAGAAGAATTATCTTTGTCAGTTTTTTTTCCGTGTTACAAATTAGCAAGGTGAAGCGATGGATTACTGAACAGTCAACTTTCAATTGTTCCCTGCTAGCGCAGATGATGATGAGGAGTCGTGAGAGCAGGAAAACCGAAGTCGTCTTTAGTGCCGCTTTATAACCACTGAACTGTCGTTGTTCATACAGGCGCATCTGTCGTGAGAATTAACGGTAGACGACCGGATACGTCGGTAGTTTCCTTTCAATCATAAGTGGTTAGCACCCCCCTCTCCCGCTTTCACCCCTTTTTTCATCTTTGTTTCATCATTGTATAACTAGTCGGCTATATGATTATGGTTATGTGTTGTGTCAACACACACACACACACACACAACTCTGAGAGAAATAAAAAAAAAATCCTTAAGGTAATACTAGCTAAGAGCTCTCAAGGTTGGACATGCCTATTGAAATGGCGTTTCTCCAGACGATTTCACTTCTGGCACACTTTCAGCGATAAGTTTAAACATATTACATTGTAAAGTAATGATAATTTACTACAGTTGGAAACCACTGCTTATATTATTATAAACTTTTAAGTCGCTCTGAAAGAACATTAATGTGCGACAGACACTTGATAAGAAAAGAACCAGAACGCCAGTCAGTCAACATGTATACACGCCCTTAATATTACATATTGAGAACGTTGCCACAGTGGCGCAGTTTAGTGGAAGCAAACTCTCTTTTTTTAAGTACTTGTCATATGTAGATACAGACCCATAAACAATTTAGACAAATTAAAAAATTTATATTTATAAGCTTGCTCTTTTTGACAACATCTGAGTGTTTTTCTTTTCTTTTTATACCGATTAAACTGTAGGATTGTATGGTACTTAAATTCACTAAAGTTTATGAAAACATATGGTTTTTTCCAATATGATGAATATTTCGCACTCCACATCACAACGTTTTTAAACTTTTATTGATTGATTACTGCATCACTTGGAGATATCCTTCGTTTTATAAACCAAATATATACACTGTGGATAACAAAAAATGTTTTACGCTGAATCGCTACTTACTTTCCAACCAGCATATACTGTAACTTGGGTTATCTTTTAATTTATTAAAATATATTCAATTATCTATTTAATAATACACCACTATTCTCTGAAACCCGTCACACATTATTTACCACATGTTGTTTTAATTAGTGTAAATCCTGTTTTTTCTTCTAAGATTGATTCGCTGTGAATAATGCTGTAAGTTGTGGTAAAACAATATAAGTTGAATAATGATCTCTGTCTTCATCCCATAAAAGTCTTGCTTCCATTCGAGGAAGATTAATTATAACTGCACGAATTTAATCATTTTTATATGCAAAGTTTAACTGTTCAATGACATTTCAAATTTGTGTTGTTGTACATGTATATACTTAAACGTTTTGTACGTATCAATATTATACATTTTCTTAATTTTCCATTGAAGAATCGACCTAATACATTTTTCTTTTTCAGGTTTTAGGGTTCAACAAGTTATGTACTATCCTAGCTTCTACTCATCTACTCAGCCATTTGAAGCAAGTTTAGCTAGTACCGGAAGACCTTTTGAAGTGCCACGATTGCCACCAAGACGTCAAAGTGAAATTCCATTGGATCTGTCCAACAAATCTGTAGGCCAGACCCCGGAAGGTGCAGTAGAAACTGAAGAAATGTATTTTTTAGAGCAGCGAAAATTTGCGGGACTGAGTGCTTCCCAAGGACTCCCGACAGGGTTACATAGACATATGACAGGTGTAGGAGGTTCTCCAGGAACTTTGTTGGATCCGGCCCTTTTCCGTGTGGGTTACAGACCAGATGCCAGTGTAGGTGGCTTATTGGGTGCTAATATATCGTCGCCATTTTGTGTAGAACGAACTCCAGTTTCGTCTTCTGTGCCATCGTTTGGATCTCATCACATGATAGGTAGCATCTTCCAACAACGAGACCAATGTTTAGATCAACATGGCGCCATCTGTGCAGGGACTCGACCCCCGACACATCTTTCTCCATTCTTAGAACCAGCATCGTTATCATTACCCCTTCGACCATCCAACAGTAGCTTGTCTGATAGGAACCTTAGTTTGGGACCTAGGAGCCTTTATGGACAAACTATTCCAAGCTCTTTGGGACTTCCTAGCCTCTCACTATTCCCTGAACGGACCGAAGAGAAAGGAGCTTTTGTGGCTCTCCGGCCAGGTGCCGAGAAGAGTGTATTAAGTGGCACCCCACTTGAGGCAACAAGTTATGCAGAGCATCTCCAGCGGTTAAGGGAGCATCACGTGCAGCAAAACAAGTGTGTAGGTGCGTGCTGTTCATCCACACTCGGTAGCTTGGGGCAGCCATCCAATTCCTGCTCGTGCTGCTCATCACAACAAACGCCTCTTTGTAGCCGTGGTCCCATGGCCTGCTTAAGCAAAGAACACGGCAGCGGAAAAATGTGTAATGGCGCCTGTGGATATTTTGCTCCATCTCTTTCTTATCTTGGTCAGCGTGACATTCGGTTGACAATGAACCCCTATTACAGCAACCTGGGGGAACCAGTAAGGAGAGACGACATTTTTGGTTCATTGTTCTCTTCAAATCCAAATTTGTGGGGTTCGAGTTTATCTGCAGCCCCGATCAGTAAAGCTGTGGCTCCAGCCGCTTCTCCAGGTCACAAAAAGAAAGACAGTACAGGCTTAGGTCAGAAAGAAAGCCCACGTGTTGCCAAGGACTTTCCAGGCTGTTTAACACCAACAGAACGTCGAGATGGTGTCGTAATGCAACGCCCCCTCCCGACACCCAGCTATAACCTTGAATCACTGAAAAAAGAATCTAATAATAATGAAGTAATTATTATTGAAGATAAACCTACAAGCAAATGCACAAAACACAATTTCTTTAAACCGAATTCCCAGTCATCAGACCATAGAACTAAAAACAGAGAAAATCATCAGAAAGAATTTTCAAAACAACACAGTGTTCGAGATGCTGCAACTCATTCTGCTAAACACAGTAGTAAACGGCTGGATCATACTGAAACCAATGTGAAGATGCCACAATTGGAAGCAGTTACCAGATGTCACAATCGTCCTGAGGTTTCTCAGTCACATGAAATGAAGTTTTCTGATCCACCAGCCCTCGCAGCATCAGGAGTTATCACTGAATCCAGTCAACCGAACATAACATCCTCTTCTTATCCGACCCTTTGGACACCCCACGAAACAATTACAAGTTCATCTTCGTTCATTACAAGTACACCAACTCCTGTAACAGCGCCTATTTTCCATCAATCATTTGAATCCTCTTTAAAAAAGCACGAAAAAATAAGAGAGGGTGAATGCAAATCAGTAATGAACCATCATATCAATCAAAACGTAGCATCGTTGCTTCCATACAGTATCATCAACCTGACTCAAGACACTAAGCCTTCTGCCTTGGACTCAGAACGTGCCAAAGAACCCGGATGCTCGTTGGCAATACCATCTTCACATCAACATACTGGCCCTAGTCATTTCCAGCAAACAAAACAGGTTGATATCAAAAGCCAAGATACAGGCTCATCATTTTTATCGCCAACAAAGGAACACAAAAAGCCCGACATTTTGCCCCCGAAACCATCAGAGTCTTACGATCCCTACTCCTTCACCCAGGAAAAGTCAGAATACACTTTCGACGATTCAGAAGGTACTTCGCTGCTAGACGTTGGTGGACTAAACACCAGTCGCAAAAGGTCTATGCTGGAGAGTTTAGCTAACTCAGATGCCCAGAAAAAGAAAAGGCCAAACTCCTCAGACCCGTTTATCGACGCATCAAAACATAAGAAAGTGGAAAGACCACTTCAGGTGAGTATTTGGAGAGAGATATATGTGTTTACAATGTATTAACTTCTTTCCGCTTTTGCTTATTATTAATTGCCAGTGTGGTTTTTATTGGCAGAACACTTGAATAACTGGTGACATATTACTGCTGCTACTTTACTCAAAATCGTTAAAGATATTTATAAAATATAAGAGCTATAGAAACATGCAATAAATAATAGGTTTTACGTTCAAGTGCATTTTTGAACTCTATTGAGCCGTTACATGTATGGCTGAGGTGTTTTGTGCTAATTTACCAATACTAAACCCAGAGCAGTCTAACAATCCTGGAGGTATCCCTAGCCAAACCCCTGTTTCCCAATATTCATTTTTCTGTGATGCTGAACGAAGAGATCTTGATTGGAGATCGGAAATCGATAGCGAGCGACTTGCACGTGTGTTGGTTCGGTTAGAGATGTGAGCTTACGCTTACCGCGAGGTGCTTCCGTAATCTGTAACTCTTGTTCGCTGACTGGAATCGTTTTCGTTCGCGGCAAGGAGCTTTTGGAGTATTTGGAGTATCGACTGAGTAAGAAAAAAAACATGATACTCGCAACGTTCAGGAAAAATATAAGATTATCGCAGATGTTTTATTTTTCATTTTTGTTCATAAATCTGAGCTCTCTACCGTATCGTGTAGCATGAATCTTTCAAAGAACATTAGATCCATGTTTTAATCGTAGGTAGTAGTGTATTCAAGAGACGCGAAGAACATATTCCAAAATATTTATCGTGTTAAATAAACAAGGTTTTTCTAACATTGCTTTATTTACAAAATTACTCTGTAAGCTTCAACTTCGTTAATTTCGAAAACCTGTGGACCAGGTTTTTGTTTTTGATATCTATTTATCAGTAATTAACGAAGAAAATGTAGTAGCGTTTAGGCTACAGTGCGCATTCTACCATTATTAAAGTTCGGGAACTTCGGTTTTATTCCACCGTGGGAAGCGATGAAAGAAGATAATAACAACGTTGGGTTTGGAACGCTAATTGGGAACGCGAGTAACATAGCCTAGTAGGTGTAGAACGCTCGTTTTTTCTCGTAGGGTCCGTTTTGCACACGAGTAATCTTGTCACGCACCAGACTCGTATACGTTACAGGCATGCACTAATTCATCGGCGTGAACCCTACAGTTGGCGTGAATACGTTCTGTATACTGCATGAATCCATCAGTTCAAATGAGAAGCAATATTATCGTTTCCCAGCTCTTTTGATTTTTTATTTCTTTACACAAAATTTAAAAATTTTAAAGATTAAAAATGAAATGTACCGGGCTACTACCACTACTCGGTTTTTCTTTTGAGCGACCTGAAAGAATGGTGTCTTATTTTTGTCATAAATAACACAGCATTTTAGTCCATAAATTCACGAGTGACAAACTAAGACACCATACGTTCACGAGTGGCTGTCACAAATAACACAGCATCTTAGTAAACTAAAACACCATAAATTCACGAGTGATTGTCACAAATAACAGCATTTTAGTAAACTAAGACGCCATAAATTCACGAGTGACAAATTCACCAGTGACTGTTTGGTAAGCTAAGACACCGTAGATTCACGAGTGACTGTCATAAATAACACAGCATTTTAGTAAACTAAGACACCATAAATTCATGGTGTCTTAGTTTACTAAAATGCTGAGTTATTTATGACAATCACTCGTGAATTTATGGTGTCTTAGTTTACTAAAATGCTGTGTTATTTATGACAGTCACTCGTGAATCTACGGTGTCTTAGCTTACCAAACAGTCACTCGTGAATGTAATCTGAATATTAAATCATTGTATTTTCTATTGTTTATAACTAACACTTATCATTCCATCCGGTTTACTTTACTGCGCAGTACATAAAAGTTACGTGTCTTGCTGTTTGTAATACAATATTAGCATATAAATTACACAGGCAATGGTTGATACATTCATCAGATCTAATTGCTATGACACGAGTCATATAAGAGCGATATTAAGACCAAAAACTTTGACATGAGTAATCATGGACTGTGAAAAACTTACCTAGAAAGAAAACTAAAGTTTTGGGATGTACGGTGGGGTTACTGTGTCCTTTTAGGGTGACTTTGTTCAAAAATCTGTTATAATTGTTTACGTATACAAAAGCATAATTGCCCTAAGCCTTACCCCTAGAAAATAGATTGTTTACTTTCAACATATGGTTTAACAATTTCGTTCGTGGTCTACCATATATACCCACTAGTTGTATGTAATTCTGCACCGTAATCGATGAGACATCGCGACTCGACCATTGTATATGCGGGAAAGATAATTCTGGCTGTGTATGTAATACACATTTTCCTGATTCTTATACAAACAAACATCTCTTTACTATACTTAAGTGAAATTAGAACTGTTCTCGTTAGTGGTTCACATCGAAGCCATCTTTGTTGCGTATGATTTCATTGTTCAAAGATTTCGATATTGGTTATTATATCACTAGAAAGAATGTGACTTGTTGTTAATCCCATGTATAAGTCAATAATCAAATGAATACAAATATAACTAGTACTCAGAAAGAAACGTGAATCTTCCTTATAAGCTGTGGATTAAATAGATTTTAACTTAAATGTTTTGGCCCTGCATGGCCAGGTTGTTAGGGCGCTCGACTCGTAATCTGTGGGTCCCGGGTTCGAATCCCCGTCACACCAAACATGCTCGTCCTTTCAGCCGTGGGGGCGTTATAATGTGACGGTCAATTCCACTATTCGTTGAAAAAGAGTAGCCCAAGAGTTACACTGCTAAATTAGGGACGACTAACGCAGATAGCCCTCGTGTAGCTTTGCGCGAAATTCGTAATAAGCCAAATTTAAATGTTGCGCATTTAATATGTAATTCTATATAATAAAATCTTGGCAATGTTTGAATCATAATAAAGTAATATTGTATGTTAGCAGGTTAGCGAGTCTGGTAAATGACAAGCTGTATGTGTGTTTCTACACACACACACAAAATCGCGACTTAATTACTATTGTGACTTTTTAACAACTGATAAGCACTCTCTGTTTAAAAATTAACCGATCACGTGTTTTAAACTGTGTATACCGCGTCTCATGTTTAATACACAGTATATCGCTTTCTGTTTCCAGACTACGTCTACACAATCTAGCGAAACTACCCCTAGTACCTCGCAAGGTAAGTCAAATAGTTTTTCTTATAAATATATATAACTATATGTATATTGGTTAAATAATGCTTTGTAAATAATAACACTTTATGGAGTTTGGTAAAATACGTAGAAGAAAGTTAATGTACATCATATTTTCTAAATGTACTCTCGCTCTTCTCTCTCTCTCTCTCTGTATATATATAAATGTGTATAACACGAACACGTTTGTTTTTCGAATGAATGAACTTAATGATACTATGTTTACAAGGCCAGTTTGATTTAGCATACTTGCAGTTCAAAATTCACAAATAAATTTGTCATACAATTAACTATTAAAGCTGGCTTTCCTCTTATTTATAAGGTTAGCGCTGACGTTTACTTTTTGCTCTTCAATAGCTACATTAGGCCCTCACTATCGTATGATACACTAAAGCAATTAGTGAAACGCACTTGGTTTGTTTACACACACACACACACACACACACACACATACATACACATATATTTCCAACCAAACTATCACTCCTTTTTTTTTATTGAGAATGGTTTGTTTCAGTAGTTAGTTTGTATATGTCCAAATATGATACTTGATTAATACCCACTACTGCGCATGTCCCTCCTAACTATCTAAAAAAAACTGTCAGACCAGTCAGAAATCAGTTAATTAAGCTAGGTGTCACTGAACACACATATGTATATATACATATCCTTTTTTTATTTGCAGATAAAGACGTTTTAAAGAAAAAACAAGCCAAAGAATTAGAAGACTATAACAAAGAACTGAAACCAGAACATATAAAGACAAAACATCGAAATCATTCAGGTACAAAACATTTATTATATAATGTTAACATCTAGTTTATCTGTGTTATCTAACAACATGGAAAAATATATAGTTAAAGACGTGGAGTTGGATTAAAAAGTGTGGCTAGTAAAATATAGACGCTTTTTAATGACAAGTAGTGGTAAGAGACTCTTTTATAATCTTAAAAAAGTTAAACTTCACAAAACGAGTACATAGTATGTTTCTATGTTACATCAACATCGAATATAATTAGGCATGAGGTCTTAGATTGAAAAGTGTAATGGAATACAAGTGAAAGGCCCTTTTTTTTTCTTACACCAACCTATACACATATATATATATTTACTTGAAATGCATAATATTTAAACGTGGTTTAATTGATACAGATTGCCAATGTCGTTTCTACAGGTTGTAAAGAAAAGTTTCTGATAAATAAATTGAAGAGTGCAGAGTTTGAAGAGGGTTTCCGCAGAGAGGCGAAGCGAGTCTGTGCCAAAGCGAAGAAAAAACTCAGAAAACGCTTGTTAGCCAGACTTTACGAAGAACAGAGGAAATCGGACCCAGAGAGTGATAATGAAGTGTTGTCAAAAACAGAACTAGATGAGAACTCTCAGTGTTCGAATCAAGTCGTTTCTCAGTTAAGCCTAATATGGAAGCACAGGCGGCTATTATACAGTTGTCAAACAGTTAGACGACGCCGACTAAAGTCGGGTTTAGACATGATAGCAAAACCACATCGGAAGAAGAAGTCAAAATCAGCAAACATTCAGAAGCTTTTGGATAAAGAACTTCTGAAAGAACAGGAAGATTTAATACCTTTAGAAAGCACTCTTAAAGATATCGGAGAAAGGGTGAGTGTTCACTAATTTATCTTCTGTTTAAAAAAAACAATTTCTCAAAAAGCTATTTTTCAAAACCAAAAATACTTCACTTTAGAAGTGAAAATAGAAAAGACGGTCTACGATACAGAAGTAAGCTCAGTTACGCTGGCCCCCAGTGGCACAGCGGTATGTCTGCGTAGTTACAACGCTAGAATCCGGGTTTCGATACTCGTGGTGAGCAGAGCACAGATAGCCCATTCTGTAGCTTTGTGCATAATTAAAAACAAACAAACAATATCTGCGGATTTACAACGCTAGAAACCGGATTTCGATACCTGTGGTGGGCAGTGCACAGATAGCCCATTGTGTAGCTTTGTGCTTAATTACAAACAAACAGTTACGCTGTAATTATTTTTTATGAGTTTGCGGCACCTGTAGGAAAGAATACAGTAAGGAAGGTGATATGAAAGTTACGGTCTTGAGCTGGCAATGTCTGGGTCACCGCTGAGTCTCGTGTTTTCTCCTGTACGTGCATTTACCTTTATTATCATTATATAACAATTTCTTCTGAAGTTAGTGTCATGACATGCATTTTGTACACCCGTAAAGTTCAGATAGAAAATTCGAATATTTGATTTAACTTGCCTGGTTTTGATAGGGTATAGATTTAACTTGCATGGTTTTGTTGCATCAGATGTCGAGGGAATATTCATACCCACATTTCTGGGAAAGTATTAAAATCAGTTCGTCGTGGTGCTGTAAGCGGGAAGGAGATCTCCTGTGTCAAATCATTGAGGCGTAAGTTATCACGTGACATGTTTGCACGGTATGACAGCAAAGATTAACTGGGACCATATGTAATAGAGTTGTCGTATTTCTAATTTCGGTGAATAAAGTTCGAGGAAGACCTACATAGCCGCAGGCTGCCTAATCTTGTTAAATCGAGAAACCTGCCAACATTGTGGCAGTCGAACTGCGCGTTATGTGCTTCATAGAAAGACCAATTCCATCATTTTATAAAAAAAATAAAAAATCAGAAGTAACATATTTACTTTCGTAAAAACAATGTATTTTACAGACCCGGATACTGTGGATAAACCTATACAACGTCTTAGTTATAAGAGGATAAATCTATGTGTATAATTTATGCATAGAGATTCGTTTCCACATTTGTAAGTTATTTACCAAACTACAAAAAAATGTCCGTACCTATATTAAAAAAAAATATTTTGGATTAGTAAACAGCACCTATACAACACATGGGCTAAACAATATTTATGCGACACATAGCTTAAACGACGTATTATGCCATATTAGAGTTCCATATGATTCGAATATAACTAGCCCTAACTTTGAGCTGCAAACCAGAGAAAGGGCAACTATCCCTCGCCTATTCGGCGGATACTCATAAACGAAAGTGAGATTTGTTGCCGCAGTTATGATACCTCTCGCAGCTTAAGGTACCGAGCGTGTTCAGTGACGATTACGTCTTGAGCCTTGGACTGTCTGATCCATAGTCCAGCACACTAATCATTAGACCACGCTCGGTTCCTTCTCTACAAATTACATTATATAGTTTAATTTTACTCTAAGTGTCGCAAATTATAAACTTTAAAAACTCCATATAACCCAGAGGTTTTGTAATTAATTCTTGAAGTAAAGTCCATCCAACGACATTTTAATTTTCTGTTTCAAACTCGGACTGACACCAAACAACATCATAATCCATACTCGCCGTACTAAATGGTGAAAAAATATCGCAACTATTTAGAGCATTAGCTAAAAAATTAATAAAAGCAATAAATGTTTTAGTTACTTCTGTCAGTTAAAACATACATTTTTGATAATCAAAGATTTCAGGCTTTTCTAAACGTTTGAAAAGGAGTATTTGTGCTTTCAAGCACTGATACTGTAAGTTTTTATTTTCTAGAGCTTTATGTTAAGACTTTAAATTGTGAAAACCATTTTGTCAATTAACTTATCCTTTAATTTTTAATACCATAAAAAAATGACATACTAATTCACAAATTGGATGTAGTGATTAATAAATGTTAAATATCTGTAAATATCCATTTTTGTATTTATTTTTTGCATTAAAAGTTGATATACTGAAATATTTCACTCTTACGATACATGTTTCTTTCATTGTTGCTATATTCTACATGTTTCTTTCATTGTTGGTATATTCTACATGTTTCTTTCATTGTTGCTATATTTTTGGCTCTTGAACCGCTTGTCTAAACTTTTCAGATACCTCCAACTAATCAGTACCATATTTTTTGTTTCAGCACCAGGTGCCGTTTGACTTTTCCAATGGAGCTCCTCCAGAAATGAAGCGTATCATGGTAAACAAAGCTTTAGGAGAAACCATTCTTCATCGAGCGGCAAGACTGGGTTATGCGGTGAGTGTTCTCTTCTTATCGGTTTCTCCCGAAGGTTTACTACACGGATTGTAATCATAATAGTTTGCGTGGTGTTTTCTCGACTGCATATCCGTACCAGTGGGATTAAACGTCTTCAGAGAATACCTATACTGTAGTGTTCTATCCGTTTAAGAAAGCAGACCGCTATATACGATGTCTGTCACCTTATATATATTAAAAGTCTAAAATTTCTGTTCCTTCTAATATATACATGGTGAGTCAAAAGTTCTGACTCCTCCCAATTGTTGTGAAGTAGAACAGAATATCTACATTCTGCTGACATACGGTGCTTGGGTATATTCAGAAACTTTTGTTACCTAACACCATTTTGTGTTGACACATTTTACCACAGGCTGATAGTTTCAGAAATGGTATTTCATTAATCTTGATTTGAACCTTATATCATGATACAATGGTCAACAAATGGTCTCCAATATGTCTAAACAACCTATGTGGGCAGATTTTCACATCAACTTCACAACAATCGGGACTTTTGACTCCGTGTATATTCTACCATTTGTTTAGTCACGTGTACAAATAGGACTGTATGTTCAATATTAATAATAGTTATACTGGTAAATGCTTGTTCAAATTAGATTGGGTTAGAGTTTGTTTTGTATGCGTACTGGTGCGTAATATGGTGTTTTTCACAGACTATATTGTTTTAACGCTCGCATCCGAGAAATGAACGAAACATTACAAACCTTCAACTAAAAAGCGATATATTTCGAAACGTTCACATTATTTATTTTCTTCTTAATAATCTTCTGTTCTTGCAGCTGTTATATTTTCAATTTGAACTAAATTTCCAGTACAAGCTTGCCGTTGTTAAAACTGCTCTTTTTGTCTGTCTAAAAATATTCATTTTAAATCTCAATGTTAGTAAATGGTACAACACTTGCATAAAATCAGTTCAGAGATTAAGTTTACAATCACATTTTCCAAAACCTGGAACCATATTTCCTATGGGAAATGTGTTACAACATCGTTGGTTCAATAAGGCTACTTTAATTGCGGGTTTAGCTTATGCAGATTTTGATTTTTCCTTGCAGGAAGTGGTTTTGTACTGCCTGGAGACTAATTACTGCGATGTCAACGCTCGTGACAACGCTGGATATACTCCTTTACACGAATCCTGTTCGCGCGGAAACCTCGAGATTGCAAGTGCACTCGTGCAGTATGGTGCTGACGTCAGTGCGAGTGCAGCGGGAGGGATCAGGTACGTCGTGGTCTATCTTTTGGTAGAATATGATTTTTTAGTGTTGTGCAGCTGGTATGACATCAGACTTCAAACTTATTATGTGATAGGAAAGTTGGAAAGTCTTGTAAGAATACGCCCTTACCACAAAAGTCTAAATTAGTATCCCTAATTTTAAAGCCTGACTCTAATTATAAGAAAAAAATTGTTGCCCATTAAATTATATAGCCCCTCTATACATGCGCGCGCGCATACACACACATACACATACATACAAAGGAAACCATTTCACTAAGCGTATCTTCAAACAACATTTCGCCCCCCAGTGGCACAGTGGTATGTTTGCGGACTTACAACGCTAGAATCCAGGTTTCGATACCAGTGGTGGGCAGAGTACAGATAGCCCATTGTGTAGCTTTGTGCTTAATTACAAACAAACAATCAAACAACATTTCAAAAAGAAATTTGTCATGAATCAATTTACTTTTTTTAAAATACAAGATGTAAAATCGTTAAAGAAAAAGAGATGAAGTTCGGTTTTTTGTTTTTCAGTCAATTCATTCAATTTACCTTATTTTTAACAACAAAAGAAGTGTGAAAATACGGGAACTTTCAAGTAGCCTCTTAAACTGTGTGGATGATTAGATCCTATGTTCTAAGTTTTATCTAGAAATAGATAATCAAAAATTTTGTCTACGGATGATGTTTTATAACACACACACAACACACAGGCTAATCCGAAGTCCTCCAGCACTCGTATATGAAATCTTATATTCATAGAACATCAAAATATTCTTCTGGCGATTCCCCCATTCAATTTTGACGATTTGTAATACAAGTTAGGTAAGGTCAGAAAGAGCTTCACTTGGAATATACGGGACCTGAAGTCTTTGAAGTAAGTATTCGAAACAACTGTTTGTCTTTCTCTTCCAGACCGCTTCACGACGCCGTGGAAAACGAGTATATTGAGATTGTGCGTTTGTTGTTGTCCCACGGCGCTGATCCTACCATTGCCACGTACTCTGGTCTCACGCCTCTAAAGCTGGCGAGGTCGTCCATCATGGCGGAGTTCCTACGGGGTAAGTACGCAGCTGCCTACGTGTTGAAACTGTAAACACATGACATGTATGCTTACTCCTCGTCAGATGGAAGGTATAAAGTGTGTTAACGATCCTAACTATGGCAAATCTGGCCTTGATATTAACAAAACTTCCAGTTTTATTATATCTAATAAGAAGATGCTATTGTTAACCAGAAAGTGCAAACGTATGTTGAGAGTTTTGTTCCTGATCAACTCTGTTAGTATATATAGTACCTGTATAGACAGTGTCCAGTAGTAATGACTCGGGTAATAGAATTATTATTAAGAACGTATAAGTGAAAGTAAATATGAGTGTATAATAATATGTTAGCCACACTATATCTGCTGTATCGAGTAATTTAAAACTGGAGAAATATAGATTATTATAAATATACGATTTTGCCGGGTTTATGTTTTTTCGGTGTTATTTTTTACTGCTTTGCTTTATTACTGATGCAATTTTTCCTGCTTCTCTTCATTATTGGTGTAATTTTTTTGCTTTGCTTTTTACTGGTGCCATTTTACCCCGCTTTTCATTATTATTTACGCAGTTTTTCTTTTCTTTGTTATTATTTGCACAGTTTTTACTTTATTTTCTTCTTTACTGACGCTATTTTTTTCCTGCTTTTCTTTATTATTTACACAGATTTTACTTGCTTTTCTTCCTTACTTATGCCATTTTTCCTGATTGTTTTAAATTACTGATATAATTTTCTCCTGCTTTTCTTTATTACTGATACAACTTTCCCAAGATCGATATTGTTTTTGTATAGGTTTCTTGGCTGACGCAACTGGAGAGACTGACAATAACTTAGTTCTACCTTGGAAATTCCATGGATCATCGTGTTGTCTAGGTAAACCGTTTCTCAATTAGTCGCATATTTATTTATTTTGTCCTTTATTTACGTGGATCATGGATCATTGTGTTGTCTAGGTAAACCGTTTCTCAATTAGTCGCATATTTATTTATTTTGTCCTTTATTTACGTGGATCATGGATCATCGTGTTGTCTAGGTAAACCGTTTCTCAATTAGTCGCATATTTATTTATTTTGTCCTTTATTTACGTGGATCATGGATCATCGTGTTGTC